ATCCTTGGTGTGAATTGTGCTTAAAGGAAAAGGCTCTCTAGTCTGTTTTTCTCGAGAGCAAGAATCACAATGCTTATTTGAAAATGAAGTAATGGCAAGCACATCCTGCAGCTGCTTCAACTTCGGTATAGAGGGGTGTCCCTACCTGGCGTGCCACACGTCATCTGGAGCCTTAGTTATTTGTGTCACCACACAAGTTCGTACGCTGCCTACACCGAATAACCGCAGGTAGTAAAAGCCATCGCGCATCTCACCTTTCCCAATCAATTTCTTGGACGTAAGTCCTGGATTACGCAAAAATTATCGAGAAAGATTAGCGCGACATGGTTCTCTCTAGTGAATCGACTTACTGTAATCAAGTTGCAACGGAACTCAGGCACATGTAAAACTCTGCGTAATTCCATACTAGGCTGCAGAGCAACACTGCCAATATGTGCAACCGGAATACTTGCACCATTGGGAATTCTAACCGGCTGCCCATTCTCGTGGAGCGCTTTATTAAACAGTAAAGAATCATTCATAACAGTATGTTCATTGCATCCCGAGTCAAGTAGCCATTTTGTACTCATAGTGAACATACCTGCGTGATGCGCAGAAAGGTCTTCTGCCCCTTTGGAGTTGCCGAAAACTCCTTAAGCTGCTCGAGTTGTTCCTAGGTAAAACCCGAAACTGGACTCTTTTCTTCTTTCCCTTGATCAACTTGAGCAACCCTTGGTTCCCTATCGCGCTCGCGAGTAGGGCCATCCACAGATGGAGGACATCGCGATCGTTGCGGCCGCTCTTCTGATTTGTCACGAGGTTCTCGTGGTGGATAGCCGTTCAGCTGGTAGCAAACATCGCGGGTGTGGCCAGGCTTTTGGCAGTATCTGCAACGGGGTTTGTCTTTCCCGCCACGTTGCCCACCACGATCGCCATTGTTTTTCGTTGCAAACACAGCCGCCTCCGACGATGGTTTGCGGTTTTGTGATATCATCCGTTGTTGCTCTTCATTAAGGGTGATATTGAATGCTTCGGCCAAGGTTGGAGTGGGTCTCATGGCCAAAACTTGCGTCCGAACCGGAGAAAAAACGTCATCGAGGCCCATCAAGAAATCGAATACTCGATTGCTCTCTTGCTGCTCGCGTACTCTCCGGGAAACATCACAAGTACAGTGGCCGCAGATGCAGCTGGGTGTTGGTGAAATCGCAGCAGATTCCTCCCATAGCGATCTCAGCTTAGTGTAAAAGGCGGAGACCGAGTTCTTTTCTTGTTGAAGAAAGCTTATCAAGCGACGAAGCTCGTATGATCGAGATGCATTCCCGTGCTCAAAGCGCGACTGAAGATCATCCCAAATTCCCTTAAAAGTTTCAGCGAAACGAATACTGCTCCTGATCTCCTTGTTCATGGCCGTCTTCAGCCATCCCTTGATCATGGCATCACATCGAATCCAAGCACTCCGTTGTTCTCCCGTTGCAGGCTTCGGTAGAGTACCATCAACGAAGACAAATTTGTTCTTCGCTATGAGTGTGTCCTTCATGTCAAGGACCCACTCCCCATAGTTCGAAGATGTCAGGATATCGCCTACTAGCATCTGGCCGGGCGAATCCGAGTTGGGAAGGCGATACACTGGCGGCAGACCATCATCGTCGAAGTCCGACTTTATGTCTTTGGACTGTCGATCTTTGCCGCTTGCTTCCTCGTCACCCATATTGCTGTTGATTTAGCACCTGTGCTCTGATACCATGAGAAATATATCGAGGATCAGCTAAAAGCAATAAAGAGACGAGAGATTTAACGTGGTATCCCCGAAGTGTTCGGGACTAATCCACGGGAGAGCAGAAACAATCAGGCTACTATTGTTATTGCTTCACAAACTTCGTCGGCCTTAGCCGAGTACAATATATATATACACCATGTGTACTAGCATCTAGGGTTATATTAACAGTAGGTTTTTCTTCTTGTACACAAGCCATGCACAATAAGGAGACTTGTTGAGCAGCAGACTCCAAGCCGGGCTGGGATGAGTGGGCCAATTTGGTTCGGCGTTCATGGGCTGGGATGACCTGTCCAACAAGAAAGGACAAAGTTAAGTATACATCAAGATATGAACCTATCTAGACATAACCATAATCAAATTTAGCTACAAATGACAAGATGGTTTATTCAAGGAATGACTTTGGATTATGAGTTGGTTCAAGCAGCAGCTAAGTAATGGCCCGGCCCGGCCCACAAGAGAGATGTGCGACTGTCATTAATTTGACGTCCCTGACCCATTAGGGTAAAAGGAGGGTAAACTGGTCCTAGCTAGAAGGCCCAGCAAGCGTCGCATTCAATTTAGGAACTGCATTACGGCAAGGCAATTATATTTTTTTACTGTGTGTGTAGGACGGACGCGGGTCCGGGTGAAATAATTATGCTTTGGGACCAAGGTTGTCAACCCGCGGGTTGACCCGCGGGTCGACCCAGTTTGACCCTGACCCGATGAGAAAAACGGCTCGCACGCACCCGCCGGGTCGACCGCTATAAGGTATCGGGTTGGAGGTCAAATTGTGTCATTTTTTCCTTTGATTTGTGAAATGCGCCTATTTTCCGATTTTTCTTTTCGCCCAACTCAATCTTTGGAATCCTAAGTTGAACATTTGAATATTTATGTTATATAAGTGTGTGTGAATTTTCACTATATGTTGGATCTAAGTACGATATGTTATTTTGATGTAATATTATATGTTATAACTCATATGTTAGATAAGATTTTATATAATTTATAAGGATAAGTACAATATAATGACTTTTTCCATATTTCCGGGCCAAACCGGGCTAAAACGGTTGACCCATTAACCCTTGACCCACTAGCTCGACCCGGTCCGAGTCAACCCGCGGGTTGACAACCTTGTTTGGGACAGGCCGATACAATGTGATATGCGATTGTGAAGGAAACACGCCAGTTTCTAATAATGCAGATTTTATATAAACATCTCAGCATTTGTGAAATTGACAAATCTCAATTGCGAGTCATCATGGAATTTGATAAATAAAAAACGTGTATTAAATACCAAAAAGCAAATCGGAATCCTCTCTTTTTGTTGGACATTCAAGCTAGAAACTTCCTATTAAAAAAAAAAAGAAACAAAACTAGAAGAAAAAAATTATCATATTATATGGGGACGTTATGATTTGGACATTAGGTATTTAACATGCGTTTTTTTTAGGATTGTTATTTGACGCCCGAAGAATTACTAATTGTCGTCCAAATTTTTAAGCAAAAGACATTTTTGTCCTTCCTTCACAATTGTCCCCCACCACCTACATGCTAGGCTGCTACAGCTTCCTCCATCCGACTGCTAATTATGGAAATGGATATATACAATATATGTGGGTAATTAGAGAATTTTGGTATTGAATAATTATTTAATACAGTATTTAATTATTTTAATATTAATTATGAATCCACAATCGCTTTTTTAGGAAAGAAAAAGGGTTAATACCTTGTTATGGCCTGAACTATGACCATGTAATCAACTTTGGCCAGTGGTTTGAGAAATTAACATCCTGGCCCGATCTATGCAGCATATTGACAAAATTGGCCTGGAGCGTGGTTTGACCGTTTGTTTGGACGGTCAACACCGTTGACCGTTAGTCAACTTACCAGGTCACTGCCATGTCAACATAAAAAAATTACAATTTCATTTTTCTTTTTATTTCATTTACAAAAATTGAATAATTAAAAAAAAACAAAATCCAAAAATTTTGGCCCACCCATCCCCACCTTATCCCCTCACCTTCTTTCCTTTTCGATCAAACCCAACCCTATTCCATCTTCTTCCTCCTTCTTCCCCGACGAGCCGCCGCCTCCATTCTCTCCGACGAAAACAAATCTCTTCTTCCCCGACGACCCGCCGCCTCCATATCCGAAACATCTCCCTTCTTCCCCGACGACCCACCGCCTCCACATCCCAAACGAAATCGAGCTCCCTTCTTTCTTCCTTTCTATCCAAAAATGGCTCGAGACCCCTTTCGCGATCTCTTCTTCCTTTCTACCAGACCCATCTCGAGCTCTCTTCAGACCCCTCTGTGCAATAATATCCAGGCGAGTTGGGAAAATTGTCATCAAAGCTTCATCCTTTTCTGGTTCGTCAAGCACGAAGCCCATAAGATGCAACTTCCACCGAGCCCCCTGCGTTGTCAACACTTCTCGAACAGACGACAATCCTGGGAGATTGTTTTATTCTTGCCCGTATTGGAAGGATGAAGAGAAGAACTGCCGGTTTTTTCGCTGGGTTGATGCAGTCACAGAGAGTGACTTTATGCTTGGTGGACTTATGGAAGAGAATGAGCAGCTAAAGTCGACATTGGAGGCATTTGAAGGACAACTTCGTAGGGCAAAAGAGAAGGCGAAGAAGAGGAAACAGGAGAAGTTGGCACTGCTTGAAGACTTGACGAAGGTGACCGAGATCAATTCAGCTAGTTTCGGTGAATTACAAAGTATGCGAAATGCGATTTGTGCGCTACAAAATCGGCTAACCGCCTGTGTAATCGTTGTAGTTATCTTTCTTTTTGTTTTGGTGATTGTCCAATTGTAAGCTTGTTGTCTAATTTGTGTAATTTCCTATGAAATCAATGAACTGATCCATTATGTTACCTTATTTCCTTCCTATTACCATGTTCTTTCATTGAAGCACAATTGGGACAAACACATACAACTTCATTCATTCATAAACATAATCTGTTTGATGGGACAAACATGTCCGGAACATTTACAAAAGGGGCATTACCTAAGTTTAGGACATGGTTCATTTCTAGACCATTTACAAAAGGGGCACTACCTTAGTTTAGGACAAGGTGTGCCTTAGTTTAGGACAAGGTTCATTTCCAGACCATGTACAAAAGGGGGAATCCTAACTTTGGACCTACTTTACATATTTCTACCTACACTCCAATGAATCACAATGATCCGTAACATGCACATAGCACGCACAAAATAGGAGTCTTATCTAATTCCTAACATAGCATCTTCTGACTTCCTAAGGCGACTCTGGTTGAGTAGTGGGAGGCTGTGTGGTATTGACAGGAGGCAGGTCCGGTTCTGTTGCTCGTACACCACCAGGTGGTGGCACTCTGTGACTAAGCTGCAAAATAGTAGGATCTTCATATTAGGAATAGAGTTAACAGCATACACTACTTTGTCACTAAGCTGCAAAACTCCGTTACATACCCTTGCATACATGTTTCCAGTGTCCACATTCTGCTCCTCTTCCACTCACATTCTGCCCTCCATTCCCACTGCCCACATTCTGCTCTTCACTTCCACTCACATTCTGCCCTCCATTCTCACTGCCCTCATCCTCCTCCAATACCACTTGATCAACCTCCTCACCCGACTCCTGAATCCGAGCTCTATAGTTCTGCCTCCTGTTTCGAGCCTTCTGCCTGATTTCATGATACTCTTCATCAGATGTTTGGGCATCATCCTCTTCCCCTACTTGAACAAATTCAGGTATAGCCGAGTTTTCACCATCCTCATCAGAACCATCATGCTCATGGCCGTAGTTGTCACCCATAAATCCATCATCACCAAAGTCTTTTGTTGCTTCAAAGTAGACCCTCACCTGTCCTTTAGCTACACATGGGAGTAATCCATTCATAACCTCCGCGTCTGAATGAATTTCGTGCAATCCAGTGGCCATACTTTTACCCGGAGTCAAGTACCAAAGCCTTTCCACGGAGACATACTCTAAATCTTCAATTAGGGTCTTTGTTAACTCGAAATAGGACAATACATCGACAACCATGTTCACCACAGCTTCATCACCTCCAACGTACTTTGGAACAGCCCCTGTCATATCCATAAATCCTCCATGACATTAAATGAGCTCAATCGGGTCTTCCATTCTGCACATAAACAAATCGAAAACACACTTTTCTAAGAAAACTTCACTAAGCCGACAAAGACAAATCGCTAAATTCACTAAGCCGACAAAGACAAATCAACTATTATTGTTTATTGTCCACTATGCATCAATCCACATATGACCAAAACCGATTTCTTGGAAGTATTTAGAATATTATTATGTGGGATAGTGATTGCTTACCTTAGCTGAATAACAACCAAGATTTTGTCGAAGTGGTCCCTTGCTACAGGTGTCCCTGGAACCTCACTTTCTTCGCCTTTTACAGAAAATAGCGATGGGTGGGGAAGGGTTGGCCTACAAAGAAATGGACAGAGCGAAATAATTGGGGAAGGCTGGGGAAGGCTTGGTCTTGGGTGGGGAAGGCTTGGACTGAGCGCAATGGTCGATAGTGGAGAATTTTGGTCTGGGTAGGGATGCGCGCCAGGAACGGGTGAGGGTTCTGGGTAGGGATGCGATTTTCAAAGCGTGCGACGACTGCGTCGTCTTTAAAAGACGAGATGCCGCTGCATTTGAAACGGAGAGAATGGAGGCGCCGGGTTGTCGGGGAAGAAGGAGGAAGAAGAAGGGTCGTTAGGGTTTTTTTGGGGAGCAGATCGATAACGAAAGAAGGCGAGGGGGATGGGTGCTCGTGTTTGGGTTATGATGAAAGAGTGCGACGGCGGCGGCGGCGTCTTTAAACGACCGGCCGCCGCTGCATTTGAAGTCGGAGGGAATGGAGGCGGCGGCTCGTCGAGGAAGAAGGAGGAAGAAGATGGAATAGGGTTGGGTTTGATCGAAAAGGAAAGAAGGTGAGGGGATTAGGTGGGGATGGGGGATGGGTGGGCCAAAATTTTTGGATTTTGTGTTTTTTTTTAATTATTCAATTTTTGTAAATGAAATAAAAAGAAAATTGAAATTGAAATTTTTTTATGTTGACATGGCAGTGACCTGGACAGTTGACTAACGGTCAACGGTGTTGACCGTCCAAACAAACGGTCAAACCACGCTCCAGGCCAATTTTGTCAATATGCTCCATAGATCGAGCCAGGATGTTAATTTCTCAAACCACTGGCCAAAGTTGTTACTTGGGCATAGTTCAGGCCATAACAAGGTATTAACCCAAAGAAAAAAGTCACCGGCGACAGATACCACGTTGAGAATCGTTCCCCGGGCACTCGTCCCTGCCCAATGCCAGCAGGCGGAGCCGTCCGACCTCGCCCGACAACCGGCACGCCGTCCAGTCCTCGCCGACCGAAAGACAACCTCGGACCAACGCCTGCCATCTCTGTCCGAACTCCGACGTTGGGTCGCACATCCCCGTCCGTACGCCGACGTCGGGCCCCACCCTAACGCCGCCGCCGGGCCCGTCCAAACTCCAATTTCGCACCACGCATCTCCGTCGGGCTATGGAGAGATGACGAACGAGGCCAAAAATCACCATTGATGCCCGGAAAACGGATGAAAAAAGCAGAAAAATTGTCGTGCAAGGAAACAGAGGGATTTGCGAGATTAATGCCGGAAGAAAAGGGGAGGTGAATCTCGCCGGGTTGTCGCGAGATTTGGGGGAAAGAAATAATCGGGAAAATACAATAAATGAGAGGAGTGATTGAGATAGAAGTTAATTTTTTTTTTTTTGGTAAAAGAAGTTAATTTTCAATGCAATTATATGTGCCCGCTGCACTTATGTAATTAGACGAGTTAATTAGACTAAATAAGTTTAGGCACAATAGTAATTGCCTTAATTAATCTTCGCCATCCAACATTTTCCGGCGGCCTAAAAAAGATGCAGCAGAGGAGAGGTGGTGGTGTTGTTAAGTTAGTTAGATTATGTAGGATTTAAAATAATTAAAGGGCAAAAATGAAATTTTATTTAAAAGTGTGGGCGGCAGATAGTAAATACTCAGGCGGCAAATAACAGTTCACTTTTTTTTTCCTTCCAAATTCTATGATGATTCGCAATTGGGATCTCACGAGTGTTGGTGGGATAGACTTATCATACTTTTAGGGGGAGCCCTTCTCAAAGAGGACCAACGTTTTTTTCTTCTTATTTTAATTTCATTACTTATTCATTTGCTCCTCCTCTCACCAATAATACTACTTATTTGGTGGCTCAAAACCTTTTTACCAGCAGTTCGATTATTTGTCGACTGCCACGTTTGGTTGTTTGATATACTATGACAATTTTTCTAAAATACTATCTGTGGAAAAGAAGGAAAAAAAATTATCTCTCATCTTTACTCTTTAGCAATATTTTTGTTGCATCACACGGTGGAGAAGTTACCCATCAAAGTTCCGCGTAAGAATATCGGTGGAGAAGTTACCCATCAAAGTTCCGCGTAACCATATTCTTAGCGAGATCATCTGCCACTAAATTAGCTTTTTTGTGGGATATATTTTAGCGGAGCCTTCTAATCTCTTCCAAGAATTCTACGACAGTTGTTGACACCTAAAATTATTTTAGATTAAATTAAATGCCGCATTAATGAATATCGGCATTTAATTCGATCCCGCATGATAAAAAATGATGTCGCCGAGAGTCAAGCAATGCCGCTGAAAGATTAAACGGCGTCGCGAAGCTCAACAACATCGCGGGACTAGAAAACGATGTTGTTTAACTAAGAACGGCGCCGAGGAGTGAGAGTTTCACGGCGAGTCAACAGTGATGGGCGGTTTAATTAATATTTTTAATGATTATTTGGACGACGTCGTTTAGTAGAAAATGACACCGCAAGGCGCGAGAGGTATCAACATCAACTCTTTTCTGTCCTTATTTGTGCATGGCTGCCTGTATTTTTTGGTTGTTATGATGGTGGGTATGTGAGTGGGAAGGAAACAATAGAAGTAGGGAGGTCTATTCGGTCTCTCTTTTATGGTTGACTGTTTGTGCGAAAGAAGGAAGGCGATGCTCTGTTTTTTTGGTAAAATACCTCGGCTATCACAAAATATGAGAATTGGGGGATTTATACCAATTAATTAAAAATAGGGCATCGCGTACCACTAACTCTATTATATGTGCACCCGGTACTACTTAAGTTTACCATTCTAGTAATAATATTTTAAGAAGGTTTTTTAATTTTTATATGAGATAAAACTTGTTGAAATATATTTTGTATACTTTTTAAAGTTTTGGGTACCAAAAAGTAATTAAAACTTTGGGTTGGAGGGAAAACTAGACGGATGTACATTTTGATAACTTTAGTAGTACCCGATGCCCTATTAAAATTTAAGTAGTATGTCTACCTAATTCTTTAACTTAAGTGGTACCCGACGTATTTTACTTTTTTTCTATAATAAATAAAAAGGAAATCTATAATAAATAAAAAGGAAAGATGTGATGCTCCCTCTTTTTGCTTGAATTTGTGGATCAGAAAAGAAGGGAGAAGTAGAGATTTGCAGAGTTGATGTTCTTGGTGTTTCCTCTCGATCAGAAAAGGGGAAGGCCTTCTTTTCCTCTACTGCTTGTGGGGAAGAAGAAGAAAAAACAAAAGTATCTTTTGTCTTTGTTTGTAAGAAAAAGGGAAGAGAAGAGGAAGCCCGAACTGGATCTGAAGCTCCCTTTGTTCGTTGGTGAGAAGAAGAAAAGAAGAAGATGATTACTTTGGGGAAAAAGGAAGAAGTGGATCAGCCCTCCGTTGCCTCTCTGACTTTAGGTCACCCAATTCGTGAGTGTGTTACTGCCGCTCTCGTTTTGGCGCGGCAAAATACGCTTTCTCCAAAAATCGTGCATAATTCGCGCTTTTTCTTTTTACGTAGCGCGAATTATGTTCTTGAATCCGCATACTACCAGCGATTCTCCGTCATGTTGCCTCCAAAATCGCTGAGGCTCTGAATCTCGGCTAGCAAGAAGATGGATTTCTTCCTAATCCTGTGAAAATATATGGGTATTTCTTCTGGTACTCTTTCGTCTCCCTCTGTAGGTGAAGCACGAATGAAAGAGAAAGAAGAGGTGGTTGTTGGTCATCTACCAATGGAGTGACTCATTGATTAACCCACCTCCTTTTGGGCTTGGATCCATGTACTTTTTTATGGGTCAATATAGAGCAAAATGTGTTTGGTCATCTGTCAATGGAGTGACTAATTGATTAACCCACCTCCTTTTTGGCTTGGATCCATGTACTTAATGGGCCAATATAGCTCAAAATGTGTTGTTAGTAGATTGCAAATAGAGGTCGCAATTCTCAATCCAATCCACCAATTCATTAAAAATATCCACATATTTCAATCCATTTGATCCAAATTCAATTGGATTGGTGGATTCATAGATCAATCCATGGATCCAAATGGCAAATTACGGTTTGGTACCTATACTTTTTATAGTTTACATTTTGGTACATAAAATTTAATTTTTTATACAAAAATCTCATTGGGAAATTACATTTTGGTACCTAATTTTTTCATTATGACATTTTAGTACCTAAACTTTTCACATTTTACATATTGGTCCAAGGTTGAGGATGTCATTTGGATTCATGGATAGTCCACCAATCCACTTGATCCAATCCATAAATCCACCAATCCATTTGATCCATTGATCCACCAATCCATGATCCAATCTATATCCATTTGCCACCTCTAATTGCAAATGAGGCTACTGACGTTTTTTTTTTTTTTTGTGAAAAGGTGCGAAGCACCGAAACCTCAATTAAGTAATCGAACGAACGGTAAAACCGCCAATAGAGTCATACAGAAGCCAGTGGCAAATATAAGGATCACTCGGATCGACAACATGAGTTCCCGGAGGAAGAGAATGACCCAGATGGGCCAAGTAGTCAGCAAGGAAATTGCCTTCCCTGTAAATATGCGTAACTCGGATATCCCAGTCTCGTTTCTGCAGTTCCTGAAAAGATAGCACAAGGATAGCGTGCTGGTGGTTCGTCGAAGCGGACTCTGCAAGAAGATGCACGGCAGTAGTGGAGTCAAGTTGCACCTCCACTTTCCTGTAGCCAAGGTCCCAAGCCAGACGAAGACCGTGTATAGCACCCCATAGCTCTGCGCGGGTGATTGAGCACCTCCCCAGATTCATCGAGTAAGCCCCCAATAAGCGACCCTGCCCGTCTCTAAGCACGCCTCCTGCAGCAGTAGACCCTGATTCCCGCAAAAGCGAGACATCAGCGTTCACTGTGAGCCACCCTATCGAGGCTGGTCTCCACCCTACAGCCACGTCTCGACGCAGCCCCGACCTCCCCAGTGATATAGTGTGTTCTGTCGCCTTGCTCTGTTGCGCGATGACCTCCCAGGCGAGGATATTTTGCGAAAGCTTATTGGGTGCCTCCTCGATGCCTGCGAATATGTCATCATTCCGCGAGCGCCATAAGAACCATACAGTAAAGCCAAAACGAACCTGTGTGTCTGGGTTCGACCAATGGTGCATGAACCACGCATTGAATTCTCGTGAATCCGAGTTAGCTGCCGCCGACCGGAGAACCGAATCCCACACTTGTCTCGCAAAGCTACACGCCCGAAAAACATGTTCCGGTGACTCGGCGTGCTGCTTACAGCGTTGGCACGTCGTGGTGTTTGCAAGGTGTCGCCGCCTCCTCTCCTCGTTGGTCATGAGCACTCCATGAGAAGCTAGCCATAGGAAGTGGCGGACACGGCACGGGCCAGGCCACTTCCACACCGCCTTCCATCCCGGATGCGCCTCGTCACTGTCGATTGCTGCCACGAGCTGGTACGCCGACTTCAGGGTGAAGTTGCCTTTTGGTTCGAGACCCCATACCAGCTCGTCCTCCCCAAGCTCCGTTTTGGGCGGCGGCATCCCGATCACCTGCAAGAACACATCATTTGGTAAGATACTAGAAATCAGTTCTACATCCCACTCACCTGTCTGCGTAGTCATGCTAGCAATGGAGGCGTGAAGGTCAATGTCTCCCGCCGTGGGTAGTAAGTGATCCGCCAGCACAATTCCTCCATCCACCCACTTGTCCTGCCAAAACAGAGTGTTGGCGCCGTCTCGAATGCTCCACCGCACTCCTTCGAGCATCGTATTCCAAACGCGTCGCACTCCCCTCCAGAGTTGCGAGCATCGAGTCTTACGGCGGAGTTCCACCCCGTTCGGGCCTTCGCGGAGATACTTCTCTTTCAGCACACGGACCCACAGCTCCTCCGGGTGCTTGAGGATCCCCCAAGCAAGCTTCAGAAAGTACGCCTTGTTCAGGTCACGCGCGTTTCTTAGCCCTAGCCCACCTTGATCTTTAGGAAGGCAAATTGTTTCCCAATTGACCAGATGGATCCTCCTCCTTCCTTCCTGGGAGCCCCAAACGAAAGCGTGTATTTTACGATCCAAGTAGTCGCAGACTCCTGCAAGGAGCAATGAGGTATGCATGACGTAGGATGGTATGACATTCAGCACAGAGATGGCGAGCGTCACTCGACCTGCAAGGGATAAATTCTCCGCCTTCCACCCTGCAAGACGCTGGTCAATACGATCAATAATATAACGATAAGTCTGTTTAGTCACACGACCATGAAGAACGGGCACGCCAAGGTACCGCCCCAAGTCCTGTGTCATAGGAATCTGAAGGCGGTCACTGATCTTTTTGCAAGCTTCCCGCTTCATGTTCTTGGAAAAGAACACCCGAGACTTTTCGTTGCTAACGAGCTCCTCGGAGGCTGCGCAGAACCTTTGCAGGCAAGACGTGATGACTTCTGCTTGGTCCAAGGAGGCTTCAGCAAAAAGCATCAAATCATCTGCAAAAAAGAGGTGGGTTAGCTTAGTTCCTTCCCTCACAAGCTGGACTGGTTTCCACCGCTCCCTGCTCAGCTCCTCCTCAATCAAGTGCCCCAGTCGTTCAATGCACAGCGTGAAAATGTACGGGGAGAGAGGGCAGCCCTGACGTAGCCCTCTGGAAGGCTTGAAAGACTCCGACGATTCCCCGTTCCACAGTATCTCCATTGACGCGGATGTTAGGCAGGCCACGATCGCATCGACGAACTTCTCCGGGAGACCCGCGGCAAAAAGAGTGTTTGTGACAAAACTCCAGCTCAACCTGTCGTACGCCTTAGCTAGATCAATTTTGATCACCATCTGTCCTTTCTTCCCCACCTTTGTCAGTGTGCATGGTATGAACTACCTCCTGCAGAATGATAATGTTACTTTGAATATTACGCCCCGGAACGAAACTCGTCTGATTTGGCTTGATGAGCTGGGGCATAAACGGTTTCAGACGGTTCGCTAAGCACTTCGTAAGCGTTTTGTAGGCCACGTTGCACAGGCTAATAGGGCGTAAATCAGCAACACGCTCGGGATTCCTCTTCTTAGGTATGAGCACCATTAGTGTCTCATTAACAGACGCCACCAAAGACGGGAACCTGAAACAATCAATAACAAACTGTGAGAAATGCCCACCGATTGTTTCCTAGCACCTCTGGAAGAACAGGGGTTGGTAACCATCCTTCCCGGGAGCTTTGTAGGCTCCCTCAACTTCACACCCTGCCAGATCCACGTCCAACCCTACCAGATTTTCCAATCTAGGAAAAGCCGAAATCAGAAAGTCCACCGTGTTGGACTGGTCGGTGAAGAGGGTTCGGAAAGCATCCAGGACCATCCCCATCATCTCCCCATCGCTTTCCGTCCACGTCCCGTCCTCCCGTTTCAGTTTACGGACCCGGTTAGCACTTCGTCTTTTGAGGGTAGCTAGGTGGAAGAACCGAGTATTCATGTCGCCCTCTACAAACCACTGAGATCGCGATTTCTGGTACCAAAGGGCTGCTTCGTGCCTCAAGGTGTCCTGAAGGCCTGAACGAACCTCCTCTTCCTTCTGCAGGCTCGCAGTAGACGGATTCAACTCATTCTTCATCTCAAGACTGGTTAGTTGTCTTGTGAGCTGTCTTTTCCGAGCAAAAATATCCCCGAACACCTCCCTGTTCCACCTCCTGAGATCATTCGTGAGCTGGGCGAGACACGACCTGTAGCTGTCGCCTTTCCCCCATCCATCCTGAAGAGCACGGGAGAATTCATCGTGAAGCATCCATGGTGCTAAGAACCGAAATGGCTTCACCCCATGTCCCGCCCTCTTAGCAGCCTCCATCGAGACTAAAATGGGACGGTGGTCGGACTTGACTCTGTTGAGGTGGGTAGTAAAAGACTCTGGGAAAGAATGTAACCATTGGGAATTACAAATGGCCCTCTCGAGTCTTTCCTTTAGGCCCCGCGGCCCGTTCCATGTGAAGCGCGGTCCCGCGAATGCCAACTCCATTATACTGCAGTCTTCCACAGAGCTCCGAAATTTCCTACTTTGCGCCATGTTGAAAGCCGCACCACCTCTTTTGTCCTATGGGCTGAGCATGGCGTTAAAGTCGCCCAGTACGAGCCATGGCAGCCCATTATCACAGGAGAGAGCCCGCAGGGTCTCCCAAAGCGTCCTCCTATGGGTCATTCTGGGTGACCCATATACTCCGGTGATGAGGCATTGCACGCCGTTGGGAAGCCGAGCTCGGAAGTGGATGGTTTGTTCACTCGCTCCTTCCACAATCACGTCCGTGTCTCCCGAGTTCCACAGCGCCCACAACCCCCCAGAGAAACCTCTCACTTCAACCCTCTCTTCCTTGTCGTAATCCATCTGCCTAATCACTTTATCCGCCTCCTTGCCACTGATCTTAGGTTCTGAAATAAACACAATGGTCGGGCGATGAACCCGCCGAAACTCAAAGAAATATGTTAGAAAGTTTGGGTCTGCCGCACCGCGGCAGTTCCAGTAAAAAATGCTAAACATAACGAAACAATACACAGAATACTCCCCTGGCTGACGAATCAGCACCGCTCCACTTCCATGCCTGAAGTGCCGTTCGATCCTCCTACAGAGGCGGCACTCTTGCATGTCTTATCTTGCTCCCTAGCTGGGGATGCAGTATTCGCAACATTCAAATCCAGCGCCCTAGCCACAGGTTGTTTGGACCCATCGGCTATACCCTTACCTTTCGAAGCACTGGGTGGCGATCCAGCATGAGCACTCTTCCCATCCGCTTTGGGCTTCCCTGATGGTTTGGGTACTCCTCCATCTGAGGGAACACTTTTATCCGGGGGTCTCGGTTTTGCAGAAGCATTCTTGATATTGCCCCCTGCTGTGCTGCTCACTTTCCTCTCCATACCCTTTTGAATTTGTCCTTTCCCCCCCTTCTTCTGCCCATTCTGGCCTCCAGTCGATCCCTTCGAACCCTCCTGGCTCTTCCTCCCATTTTGGTGTCCCAATGTCTCTTGTTTATCACGTTTCCCATCCCCATCGCCATCCGCGCCGTCTTTGCCTTCTTCTCCGTTACCCCCTCCTCCTCTATTGTCCCCTGATGATTTGCCTCCTTCAGAACCGCTGCATGCTCCCTGAGCTCGTCGTTCAGTGACTCGAGAACCTCGAAACGGGACCCCAAGTGTACTCCGGGACTTTGAGAGGGGCTGGATGTAGCCACTTGTGGTGAGGGTGTGCTCGCTACACGTCGGCGGCGGTGGCGGGTTGCCAGCATCCACGGCCCATAATCCTGAAATATTTCAGGGCGCTCCTCTTCAATTGGTCGAGATGGGAGTGTACCTAGGGCTGCCTGAAAATCAGCCTCCGATGGGGCCTCCGAGACCTTCTTGGGGCATGCCTCTTCTTCATGACCATATCGACCGCACGAGAAGCAGACCTTGTGTAATCCCTCATACTCGACCCTCCTTGTTCTCCTTTCAAGCCTATACTTGCAAATCAAGGGCTTCGTTAGATTCACCTCCACGCATATACGTGCAAAGTGGCCTCTCGTGGCTTGGCGGGTGGCCTCATCCATGCGAATGTAACGTCCCAATGAGTTACCAATATTTGCGAGTAACTCCTCGTCATAGTAATCCATTGGTAGTTTGGGAAGCCTCGCCCAAACTAGTGTACTGGTCAACTCTTCCTCGCTTGGTTCAAACCCCCGCCTCCAAACACGTGTGAGTACGTAGTGATCTTCGATCATCCAGGGTCCGCCGGTGAGGGCTCTCTCATAGTCATGCTCAGTGGAGAAGCGTGCCGAGTAGAAGCCTTGTCCCATTGCTGCGATGGCGACAGGGACCTGTGAGTGCCCACATGCTTTGCATCCGCCTTTGGAGAAAAAGAAAGGGAAACGTGTGGTCGAGGACACGGACAATGATAGCTAGTCGCCATTTGTTCCTTATCTTCTTCCCAAAGCCTGGGGGGAGGCGAACCTTAGGGCAGTCAGGCTCCCCTTCTCCATCACTATCATTCTCCTCGATATCCATTGTTTCGTCACCCGGCGACACTTGGTGGCTCGAAGAGGTCACGGTATCTCTATAGGAGACCTTCGGGTTCCCTCTCGGCTGCTCCTTGGTTTCCCCAGCCGTCGACGTCGGACCTTGCGGCTCCCCGCTCGGCGTGGCCGTCGACGTATTGATGACTGCCGCTGACTCAGTCTGCATATCTGCCGCACCAGTAAACTCCTCATTGGCGATGGTTTTCGATCTCTTCGCGGCTTGGATAGGAGACGCAACGTATGAGGTTACTGACGTTAACTCTATTTAATTGATTTAATCCATGTTTTTATAAAAAAAAGACCTTCGATTTCGTTTAGTTTTAGTGCATTTTTTGGTAACTTTAATGAGGTACTGTTGTAATTTGATTTTATTGGACCTTGTGGATAACAGAGTTTATACGAGGTAGTTGACGGAAGGGGTGATTTGTAAAGCAAATATAGTTCAAGGAGGGTAGTGTTGTTAAATAAATTAATATAATATTCACGTTCTATTCGCGCTCTCACTATTGAGTACTTGAGAAATTGACGCTCTAACGCTCTCACTCCCGCTCCCCGCTCTGGTTATCTAACTCTGCCCGGACCCTTCTTTTATAGGAAAAATTGTAGAATAAATGTACTATATAGCTGGGGTTGTTTGCTTGTGATTGGTTGCTCGGGTAGTAGTTCAATAGGTAGGGTAACTTTAGCAAACAATACCGGCTAGGTTTTTGGGTCGAACTGGGTTTTCTCAATGGGTCAGACCAGATGTTGTTGACCTTGGGCTTTGACATTGTTGACCAGGTTTGACCAGTTGACTTGAATTTAGGCTTGGACTTGAGCCCAATTTCTCTTTTACTCTCTTGTAAATACAATTTACTAATCGTAATTGTATTCTGTCTTTATGGTAATTGTACTTACAATAACAATTTTTTATTTATGTTTGATGCAATAATAATTAATTTTAGGGCTAATACCACAAGGAAACCCGAACTATCAAGAATGTGTCATTGTGTCCTAAAGTATCCAATATGACATTTGTGTCCCAACCTATTATAGTATTGTGTCATTTATGTCTCAACATATTACAGTTTTCTGTCATTTATGTCCTAACCCGAACTATTAAGAATGTGCCATTTGTTAAATACTAACGGTCAACCCTGGTCAACTCTAACGGAAAAATAGTTTAGGACACAAATGTCATATTGGATACTTTAGGACACAAATGACACATTCTTAATAGTTCAGATTTCCTAGTGGTATTAGCCCTTAATTTTAATATGGTTATTGTTGATTTTGCTATCCGTTATTTTTCCGAAATTGAAACCCAATCCTCATTAGACCCAACTTCTTAGAAAGATGATCAACTCTTGTCTAGTCAATTTGCACCATTAAGATTTGCTATTGCTAATCTCATTTAGTGTATGCAATCACAGCCAACTCGAAGCACTACAGTAGCTTGAAAATTGTTTAAGATTTGCTATTGCCAATCTTAAACAAAAGCTAAGATTTATTTAGTTAGATTTGTTTTAACCCGGACAAAAAGTGTTGTCTACACCAGAGATAATCGGATAGGGATCATCCTCGAGGAGGTAGTGCGGTATTTCACAATTCACATTAGGCTTATTGTGCGATTTGTAGGTCGGAGTAGTAATAGGGTACCCCATTTGGTGGCTAGAAAGACCCTTACATTGTACCCTACGTGTCGCTTCTTTGATTTTCTATCTTGGCTAGGTTCCCGGATGTAATGATCTATTATTCAAATCAATATATATGATTATCTTTTGTAAAAAGAAAAAAGACTATGCTTTTATGTGTCGATACCCGACCACCAAATCAGTGTAAGTTCATCTCAAATAGAGGTGTCAAAACAAAACCCGACTCGAGCAACCCGTCGGATCAACCCGCCACGTAATCCGATTTGACTAAAAGTCAATAACCCACAACCCTTCCAATCCGTACCCAATTGACCCAAAACCAAAATGTCTCGCAACTCGATTAAACCCATCACTCGATTGACCCGAACTTAATTGACAAAACCATACTAACTGTGACCCGAACGTGCACGACAAGATTTCAAACCAAGCGATCACAATACTCCAGCTTTTCTAGGGGATAAGTCTTACTTCTTGGATATAGCAAGGAGATTGGTAGTTTTTAGCTATGATGGTGGTGGTTATGGGGGCGACTTGCAATGGAAATGGAACGTATATGATTGGAAGCTACTAGCCATTTGAAGATCCTTATGACGATTATGAGTTCCAGATGAAGTATGTAGTGGAATGTGGAGGTGAAATCATGGCAGTATTGGTGGGTGACTTTGGCAAGTTGGTTCGTGTTTATAGATTCGATTGAGAACGAAAGGGATGATTAGAAGTCGACAATTTGGTATCACACGTGCTATTTGTTACCACATCATGTTTCTCTACGGTGGAAAAGATTGCTTGAAAATACCATGGATGAGTTCCAACCTTCTAGGAAGTTTATTTGTGTGCTTGGATTGACCTGCTTTAGGTGATACAAATAGGGATGTCAATCCAACCCGTAATCATGGATACCCTACCCGATCGTAACCGGTCAACGAGGGTAATTATCCGTTTTGACCGGTTAATGGACGGGTGCGGGTAATACCCGGTTTCAGAATAAAGGGTGGCTTAGGGTATGGTAATCGATAATACCCGCCCCGCTAACCAAATGTCAATTTCCCTTGAGAAATTTAGATTAGCTTGAAAATTTGAGTTTAGCCACCATTATTGATGATGAAGATGTAGACGATTATTGTGTTTGTGTGGATTGTAGAAGCAAGAACAATTATTATGTGTTTGCTATTTTTATTTGTGTGAATTGTTGAAACTAGAACAGTTAAAAGTAATGAGAAATTTTAATGGACAACGGTATGTATGTGCATATATGTGTATAAGTGCATAGTTTAGGATTCGTATCCATGATTACCCGAATACCCGTGGTTACCTGGTGGGTAGGATATGGTTATATAATTTTCATACCCGGTGGTTATTTGGTCGGGTATTTTAGAAGGCTCTACCAGTCAGGTTAGAAGTTGGTATAGAGTAAACCCGCACCTGACTCTACCCATAACAATCTGACGTTTTCGTTTTCCTTTTCGCTGAATCCGAGCAGCAGCCGATCGTCGCAAACTTGGAGCCTTCCGCTGTATAACGGGCTCCGCCATCTCCAGAGCTTGGCTACTGTCTCCACTATCTCCATTGCTGACGGGATACGCCGCCTCACTAGGCCGGTACCCGCTCTTCTCCTGGTCTTCTAGACTGGCAGCGAGGATTGCTCCGATGATCCGCAGCACCCATCGCCCAAGGAGGGACCCAAGAACAAGGAGAGAGGAGAGAGCACCTCTCATCTCTTTTTTACTACAATACTACAATAGGCTCTTAAGAAAGAGCAAATGGGTGATTTTGTGGTTTCTCGTGTGCGTGATAATAATATTTGTATTAGCATTTAGCCTACATAATATATGTATCCATAGTTCAAATTTACTGCTACATGCAAAGCTTTGCTAGATATTCGAAGAAATTCGATGTCAATGCATCATAATACAAGAATTCAGACGGATATATGTCCAGCATGAACGATATCAATGAGGCATAACAGTACCAGTGTTTGCATGGCGAGGGAACTTGAACTTGGGATTCTGCTCCAAGAATGACGGAGGCCGCTGGTAGACCACTGATGCAGCTTTTATTAGAACTCCAGCTGTTAATCCCCATATCACATACTTATTTCCCCCTGTTTCATAATCAAAGAAATGCACTAGATACTTCTCACCCATCCACTCCCTCTCTTCTACCCTCCGATGTTCATCCTGAATAAAGAAAAGCCAAGTTTTTAACATTAAGCTTTTGAAAAAACCATCAATCACCAGTAAGTAAGTTAATAAAGTTGAGGGGAGAAGTTAAGAGACCTTAATGAACATTTCCAAAGGAGCATCAAACACTGCATCAACTTCGTCTGGATTTGGTTCAGGACTGAATGCTTCTTTATCCCTTAGAATCCCTACAACAGGAACTACTCTCAGGAGATGCTGCAAAAGAACAAGAAACGCCAGCAAACAACTGATAAAGCTCCCTTACAAGGTGTCTTTATTTGAGCTTAACTAAAGTTAAGGCAAACACAATTTTTCCCTACAAACACACCCACTCTGTCTGTGTCTATGTCAATTATCAAAGCTAAGCAATTCTCTTCCCATCAGAGATTATAGGCCATCAGATTACCTTGGATAAGAAGGGTTCCATAACTGTAATAACATCAACCAGCGAAGGATCCAACCCAATTTCCTCTTTAGCTTCCCTTGTTGCTGTGTCTCCATCATCCTTATCACCCTCCTCAGCTTTCCCTCCAGGCAATGAAACTTCACCTACAAGCAACACAAACACATATAAAATCACCTAACATCACCGTGTTTTACCGCACAAGCTATATAGAGCACCCACTACACTTAGATCCTATCTTGGTGACCGTAAGTACAATACCTCAGTAAGGTTCCAACTCTCCTGTCATCGAAAACCCTAATTCTGATGTAACCATGAGGTCAAGGGGAAAAACGGAATGTTAAACAATTGGACGCAAGGGAGTTCAAGTTATAACCAAAGGTCCGCGTTTGAAGTACTGCAACCACCAATTACTACAACAGGGACGCATTTGAAGTGCTGAAACCAACAATGTCATAGAACTAGACAACCAATCAAGAACTTGAATCTCCCACCCCCTCCATAATGGGTCAAAGAGCACAAAGTCAGTAGATAACTTGAACTTACCAGAATGAGTGGACAATCTGGAGGATCGCTTGGTCAAGATGACACGAAACTCGCCGCAATCGCCTTCGAAGATACAGACCAGAACCGCCGCTCTTTTGGGTCTGAATCTATCGGATTGATTCGCAATCGGGGTAGCCGATTCTTGAAAACCCACCTGGGTAATCACCTTGCCGGCAGTTTCCTCCATGGCCTGCTCCTCAATTTCATCGGGCGATGCAGCTGGCGGCTCGTAGAGGCGGAGCTGTTGGGCTAGGGCCAGCAGCCGGCTCGATCCAGACGCGCTCATGGTTGTCGGAAATGACGACGGCGGTTTGGGAAGGATTGCCGGTAGCTTTGTTCGCAAGAGCGAGATCATGAGATGATGAGGACGTATAGTGGCATAGCGCAATGTATTCAGATTCTCAATTCTCCCCCTCGGAGTATTGCTCCCTCCCTTTATAAAGCAAAACTGGGAGGCAGCCACTGAAGAAACCCTTTTCTGAGATTTACCGGTTGCGATTTGATTAGTAATTGCAGGCGGCTAGGGATCAGTTATAGCTGGGAGTGTGTCACAAATTCTGGTTAGAGAGGGCGTCCAGATAATCCATGGAGGGAATGAATCAATGAAAAGAGGAAATGCATAGCATCCCCTCTTTTATGGGTTTCTCCGCTCCGGAATGAAATGGCAGGACGGAAATAAAATCATCGTTAGCTGCACCGCAAGTGTAACATCCTAGATCGGCCGGTCATTAAATATACCAAAATGTTAGTGAAAATCCAAATAAATCATTTGTCTTGAAAAAGGGAAAACAACGGAAAATCATCCATAACCAAATTCCAAATTTCAAACAGAAATAATCATTGTCAATTCAACACAAACGAGCATTTGTCTCGAGTCTACTAATAGGGAAATTCATAAAGCTAGGAGTACTGGGTTCCTCGCCACTAACCCTTTTGATGACATCCTGAGCAGCAATAATATCACAGCGGCGGGTCTGTGCGTTCCTGATGTCTAGTAGCTCATGAGTGCGGGTGTGATGTCAGTACTAGGTGCAATTTATCTTAACAATAATAGCTACTCAACGACTTAGAAGAAATAAATATGTGACCATGTAAGATTAAGAAATTTCATTAACTTGCTCAGAGGGGCCCCGTGCTCAGCCTAACTAACGGAACTGTCCGACCACCTGAACGCGACATGACATGGACCTCCATCATTGTGGGAGGTGAGATACATGGTAAACATGGGTCTCCTTCACTATGGGAGGTGAGGTAAGTGCTAATCGCACGCTAGCTAGGCTAATGACCGGTACCTAAACGTGAACATGGACTCTTTTTCTAAAGGAGTAGTACATATAACTTGTCCCGGATACTACAATAATTTCCCGCCTAACATCCAAGTATAAACCTTAGTCGGGTGCAACAGGATAAGTATGTTTAAATATCAACACGGGCCGGTCCTTGTACCCCTACTTCGGTCATTTGAATCATTATCTAGAAACAAAGTTTTGGTTGAAAAGTTTGTTAATTAAAATAAAATAAGGCAAAGGTAAACGGTTTTGAAAGCTCTTTGTGAGAAGGATAACTCTAGTGTCGCTCCCCCTAACTACTACCATGGTATGTGAATTGAAACGATTGTTATGGGCAAGGTAACCGCGAACCGCAGAGGGATGCAAATATGGTCGTAGACCACATTCTCGATCGCTAAACCGAGGTATACATTATAGGCCGTGTCACTCGGCGCTCTCGGTTTAGGCAATCGGTGGTTGACTTACCCCCTCACTCAACTCAAGGGTTGGACGTCTTAATCACGCTTAACCAATTTGCTTAATTCAACATTGAGGTTTGCCCTAAATTAACCTAGTTAGGTGGCTTGAAAAGCTAAAGGAAACCCAACTCGATTGAGTCTCCCTTGGAAGGGGGATTTTTCTCTCTAATCTAGGTTAAAGTGTCTAATTAGATTGCTAAGCACCAACATGCACAAACCTAAGGATGCTAAGCACAATTATGCACAATCCTTAGGTTGCTAAGCACCAACGTGCACAAACCTAAGGATGCTAAGCACAAAACATGCACAATCCTTAGATTGCTAAGCACAAGCATGCACAAGCACATGAATAATACCTCAATCATTGAATTAAACAATACCCAATGACGATCATTCAATTCACATAAAAGAAACTACATGGTAGCTAGTTAGGGTTTCACAACACCCAAGTGAAAAGAAATCTACTCCATGCTAGAAATGGGAGAAACACAAGGAGAAGAGGTAGAAACGATCTTGGGGGAGGCTTCCAATCTTCTAGACCCTTGTGCTGAACTTCTCTTGGGGAGAACCTTCCCAAATCCCACCTCAGAGCAAAACCCTAGCCTCCTTCTCCTTTGATTCGTGTTTCTCTCTCTAAAAATCTGAAGAAGGCTTTCTCACACAATGGGCTCCCCCCTCTCTTTTCCTTTCAGCTCAGCTTTTAAACAGTGAAGAGCTCAGTTCACGACCGTGAACTCTGAAACGCATCCGTGAACTTCAGATGGGCACCGAAACGCACCGCTTTGCTTCCACGGGTTCACGGCCAATAGCTCCTGTTCACGGTCTTAGCGACCATGAACTCAATTAGCGTAAGTAACTTGCATTTTGGCCCTAGACGCCCCAATGTTCACGACCAATGGCTCTTCTTCACGGTCATACAAGACCGTGAACCTCCAAGGAAAATCGTGAACTCGCGGTTTTTCACCTCTTCTCCCGGTTTTCGCTCCTTTTTGTCCAACTTTCGACTTCAGAGCTGGTTTCACCTGTTAAATTCTGAAACACACTAAAACACGAGAAACCTAGCGTAAAACCACCCTTTTAGGAGCAAAATTGCCACAAACGCCTAAGGAAAACGGGAGTAAAACGTGTACAATTAGGCCCGAATCAACATACATGCACTTTCTCACTCTGGGAAGTGAGGTGGACGCGTGCATGGCTAGTTAGGTGAGTTTCTAAAACGTGTTCTTACTTACTTGACGTGATACATGCACTTGTCTACTTGTAATAATAACTTGAAACTTAAACGTAGAACGCCAGTAAAACGTATATAATCGAACGCATAAAGTAACATGACCTAACTTGAACATTAAATCTAGCCCCCTTTAACCACGCACCTTATTAATTTAAGTCGTTTACAACTTGAAGATGACCCTTGACTTGGATGTTTTGCCTCGTGCTCCTATGGCTAATATCAACATTAGAATGGTCGAATTTTTGGATTTTAGCGGCAGCTTCGTGACTCGGGATTACTTTGCCATATAGGGAAAGTACGGGGCGTGGTAGTACATTAATAAATGTACTTGTTAATTTCTTAATATCCTAGGATGGATTACCAAGTTTTGACCAACTTAAATTATTTAAGAAAATATCCTATTACCTTTCTAGTAAACATGAAATACGTTACCTTACAAAATATACATACTAATCACCACGTATATTCTCACTATTAATTATACTCAATTTAATTCTTAACCTAATTCAATTTATTGGCAAACGTTAGCATACTAGATATAATATTTTACTTGGAAAACTATAAAAACTTACTTATTAATTTACTTACGTGGATTAGATTACTAATCATAACATATTAAACCAAACAACTCCTAATAATCTCAAACTATAATTAAATCCATGATCTTATCTCGTATGATAAGAAAAATTGAGAAGAACATGAAGAGAGAGGTATGTAGAGAGAAGTCATTTTCCCTTGTTGTTTTGCCTTTTGCGTAGAAAGATTGCCACTTTTGCACTGCAAGGTTGTGAAACCGGTTTATTTTAGCAAGTGATATGTTTATCTTTGATGGATGCTACATCTAATTTATGTTGGGTTAATATATTTCTATGGTCTGAATTTTGATCAAAATAAATATTTTGGTCAATCTTTTCTATCTATAACATTCTGACCCAACAATTCCGGTGCAAAAAGGAAGGACGGGGAGGGATTGCCGGGGAAGGAGAAGAGGAAATGAGCGCCATTTTTTTATTCTGGACCGCAGATTCTTTTTCTTCCCTCGATTGAATTATCCTTTTTTTATTGTTAAAAATGAAAAAAGGAAAATGATAATAGGTGGAAATGCTAAATTTTTTTAATTGAAAATTACTGATTTGGAAGTGACGTGGCACACTGACCATTAGTCAACGCATTTGACCATCCAAGTTAACGATCAAACATCGGGTTTGGCCAATTTCGTTATTTTAATGTATAGTTTGGGCCAGGATGTTATAGATCGAAAAGATTGACCATAATGTTTATTTTGATCAAAGTTCAGGCCATACAAATATATTAACCCTTTATGTTTATACATGTTGATTTAATAAAATTATTAAAATATAAAATTATTAAAATCAAATGAATTTAATCATAGATAAAAACCAAGGATTAAAAAGTCGTACCGTACCGGCGATTCGTCCAGAAAAACCTCTTACCGGAAGCAAAACCGGTAGGCGATATTTAGCGGTATAATACGGTTAAACCATGGTTTTAGCATAAAATACCCTACCACCGACTTTTCTGGTACGACCTCCGGTACGGTATTTCTATCCTTGAATAAAACATATTTGAAGATAATCTAGTTACTCTATAATTATATTTAAATAAATATAATATTTCAAACAAAATATCAATTATTCATAATAAAATACAACATTTAACATCAACAAACAAATTGTTATACTTGAATTCAATAAATAATATCAACATTTAACTGTTAAATTCATGAAATAAATTACTTATTAATTATTATTTTTATTAATTGATTCATTAAAATAATGTCATTTTGTTATAGGTCAAAAATCGATCATGTTAGTCATACTGGTGGTATTCACATACGTTTTATGATCCGAATAGTTCAACCGGCTAGTATTCCACTTTTGTGGCTATCATGGTTAGCTTTTTTTTTCTTTTTTTATAAATAAAAAAGAAAGCATAAATATGGGTGTGCAACGATTCAGTCTGGACCCTTTTTTACAAATAAAAGAAAGCATCATTTGAGATGTGCATCAGTCAGGTCTGAACCAGACAAAACTCATGTTAATCGTGGTCCAATAGTGAAGGTTTGGTAGACATCTTAGGACCAAGAACAACACCAACATTGCATTCGGCCTAGTTTGATCTGTCCAAATGTCATTTCATCCCATTTTTCTTCAATACTTATATAATGGGTTAATTGTATGGTTGGTCACTGAGATTATAAAAAACGTTCAAGTTTGGTCACTCAAAATATTTAAATCCATTAGTGGTACTTCAGTTTACTGAAACCGTTTACGTTTGGTCACTCTCCGTCCAACTCCGTTAACTTTGGCTGATGTGGCAGTCAACTCTCAAAATTGACCGTTAACTTAGTGACGTGGCAATTAAAAAAATAATAAATAAAATAAAATAAAATTTATTTTAATGTCCAACTCATTTTACCATAAAATAAATAAATAAAATAAATAACTTAGAGACCCAATCGAAACCTCCTCAACTTTGAACTTCACTGTGAAAAGCTTCCACTGTTTCCCATTTTCATTTCCCTTTCCTTCTTCCTCTTTCTTCTCCGGCGCTGCTGCTGTATCCTGTTGAAGGAAATTACAAGCTTGCAGCTGAAGCAAGCTGGTCCAAATTAAAGAAGCAAGCTGGTCCATTAAAGCAAGTTGCTCAATTTGACATTGTCGGACAACAAATTGACATTCTCCGACGCCGTTGCCGTA